AGAATTTCCCCACTCGACTATATAAGAGATTGCTTAACGTATAAAGGTCTTTCTGTAGTGAAATACTACCAAATGTCCCATCGCTGGAGCAGATGGGGTCTCTGTCTGCAACCCAGAGAGGGGCTTGATGATGACTTACTGCAGCAAAGCCTTAGCTTAGCCTTTCCACAATACTGTCCGCATTCCGCCAGTGATGTTTGATGCCGATCCAAGACTTCAGCATGCGAGTCCTGCTTTTTGTTGGCTAGCACCATGCGTGCTAATCCTTTCTAATGTTGGCAGGTTTGTGACTGCATAATGCAAGATACCTTGATACCTCCTAGTTTCTGAAAGAACGCATTAGTAGGACGAGATGCATCCTTTCAATGAAGGTTTCACCACAATTAATATGTATCAAGAATGATCGCATTATGAAAGATATCAACAAGAAGAATGATATCGGGCATGGCAAGTCTTGGCTTTTGTGGCCATGCTGGAAGAATGAAAGTATGTCATAATCAAATTGACCTGCTTTACCAGTTAAAACAAAAAAGCCACAAACATTTTCCACTTTTGACCGCTAACAAAGACCTCCATTCTGAAATAAAGTGGGTCATCTTTAAGGCACCATCTAAATGTCAGGATATGTAAGGAACATCTGTTAAGCTTTTCATGGTTTAAATGTCTATTCTCGCCCTTAAAATCCCCTCGCAGATAACATCGCAGAAACAATGTACCCTTCATAATATACGATCTGCCATCGAGCAGGGCCATTTGTTAATGAAATGAAGACGCGTGCCATGAAAAGAGCCCTTAGGTTTGCAGTAGCTACAGGAGAAAGGCGCTGGACCCAGACTATCACCCAATGACATAATCAGCTTAGAGGTAATTCTTGGCGCTGAGGAGATGAGAAGGAGAAAGGAAGTTGCAGGAGAGCCCATACAGCAAAACCGCTTTTCACTCAGAGCGACACACCTCCCTAGAGCATGTGGTGTTTTTCAAGTGCTAAGAGCATTAATGCTTTTATTTGAACACACAAACAATCCTGTCTGAGTGCGCCATGGCTGAATGAAAAGAGACTTTCTGAAAGATTGTGGAGGATAAACGCACTGGAGCCTGAGCTGAAGTCCATTCAAATAAAATTTGTTTTGCTCACTGTGAAATTACATTCTTTGTCATGAATTTTGTCCCTGGTCTACCTTCATGTCCCGAAGAGAAAGTTTAACTGGCAAGGATTCATACAGTCATGCAATTAATATGTGACCCTGGACCACAAAACCAGTCATAAGGGTCAATTTCTCGAAATTGAGATTTATACATCATCTGAAAACTGAATAAATAAGATCTCCATTGATGTATGGTTTGTTATGATAGGACAATATTTGGCAGAGATACAACTATTTGAATATCTGGAATCTGAGGGTGCAAAAAAAAATCTAAATAGTGAGAAAATCGTCTTTAAAGTTGTCCAAATGAAGCGCTTAGCAATGCATATTACTAATCAAAAATTAAGTTTTGATATATTTACGGTAATAAATTTACAAAATATCTTCATGGAACATGATCTTTACTTAATATCCTAAAGATTTTTGGCATAAAATAAAAATCTATCATTTTGACCCATACAATGTTTTTTTTGGCTATTGCTAAAAATATACCCCAGCGACTTAAGATTTTGTGGTCCAGGGTCACATATGTGTCTAAAGAGGGCATGATATTACCGCTGCTCTCCACAGATCTTATTTTAGATCCTGTGTGTATTTAGATACAGATGGCAATGCATCATCATTACGTGTCAACAAGCCATAACTTGGCGGTAATAAGATTTGTACATTTTTACGGATTTTAGAGATATGAAAATATATCAATTAATACGAGTGACCGAGTAGGGCATTGGCCAGGTCAATTAACAGAAGTGCATTATTCAGCCTCATATCACTGCCAAACTCTATAGCCATGCCAATATATAGTATACATTTTCTGTTTTAAAATATAATTTTGGAGTACAAAATTTTTTTAATAAATGTATAATTGAAAAAATAAGTGTGAATAATAAATAAATACAGCAATATACATATAATATTATATTTGTATTTTGATATAAAATATATAATAATGTATTTTGAGAAGTAAAAAAATTGTAAGTGTAAACAATAATTAATTTCAGTAATATATAATAAATATATACACACACACAGATACATATTTGTTTGTTTGGGTAAAGTACTTTTAGCCTTGACCTGTTTGAGGCCACTGTCATCTTTATACAATACCACTATAAAGAACTGCACCATTGCATATCTACATAATCTATGACCTTAAAATAAGAACAACAAAAGTCTCTAAATACGTAATGGAAATACAAGTTAATCAATATTCCATTCCTCAGGTCAACATAATCCATAAAACGATGCTGAATCACCAATAGGACATGTTGAACAACTTCAAAAATATGACCCATAAAGCAGCTATGTGACGTGGCTTCTTATTGTACGTGAGAATTTTAATTAGGTGCATGTTCCTTCACTATAAAAATGAGGAAGCTAATCTTACCTAACTGGGACCGGATTCATGAAAATCTTCTTAAGAAAATATTTTAGAACTTTTTTAGAATTTTACTTTGGAACATTCTTATACACTAAAAAAAAAAAATCTTATCTTCTTCCTTAAGAACACCTTATTTTTATTAAATGACAGGTGTTATTTGATTGCATATTTTGTTTTGCATATCTGTCTTTTTGTACTGCCTTGCAGATTACCGTAATAATCATAAAAAGAGTGTTGTAGTAATTAAAAAATTCAAAATAAAGTCCATGTTTGACAGAATTTCGAATTCTACAGTCATCACACATAATCATGACTGATCATTGTTTACATAATGGATCACTGGTGTCACTTTTGAGTACTTGTGCACATTGCGAGTTCAAGTGATATATTTATTTATTTATTTCAGGTTTATTTGACAGGGACAATGCACATCAATAATACATAAATGTACAATGTGCCAGAATTAGCCAGAAGGCTATTTTGCATCTGCAGTCCTTGGACTGATGGTAAAATTTTCACCGTAAAAATATAAAGAATTAATCAATACATAATACTTACATACTCCAAAATACATATAACATTCACACTATTCCTAAAAAAACAACAACAACAACATCCGCTTAAAAGTTGTGCTGTGATTGGTTAGCTGGGCCAGCGTGTGTTGTGATTGGCTCCGCTCGGCGCCTGGTCGGGAAATGACATGCCCCTTACCATAGCCGTGTGTGCACTTCAGTGTAAATATTGCGTCAAAATCAAATCAATTTGAGCGCGATTTAAACCCGGATGATTGTAACCACTCTAAGTTAGTCTGCCTTGGGAAAGCTAGCGTGTCTCCGACATTATGATAACACTCGTTGCCTTCTCTAGTGCAGCTCAACCAGGTCTCGTCCCATTCGTCGGTATTTGTGATATTATAAATCCCGGAAAATATGCGTTGTAGTCCAAACGAGTCGTTCGTTGTAGTTTTTGAAAAGTGATTTCTGTTAAATAAAATATCTCCTTTTGAAGTGAACTTTGAGCTTTGTAACTTCGCAGATCTTTTTTATGCTCAAACTGCAACATTACAGACTAACTAAAGTTTAAAAAGTGAAAAAAGCATAATAGGACCCCTTTAAAAGGTCAATACACACTGTTCCAACAAACAATGAACAATACCTGATCGTTGTTTTGTTTTTTTGGATCAGTGCGTTACACCTGTTGACTTGTGTTGGCATTGGTCATTAATTGTTTTCGCCATTGAACTTGTTGAAATTACATTTTTAGTTTTTTGGAATATCTGAGAAGTAACATACTGCAATCTGGTGATGGTAGCTATTGGTCGACGTCAGTTGTTGCGGTGTGAAATAGCCTGAAGAGATTTTTAAGGATTTCATTTTCAGGCATTTAAATTCTAATTCAAAGTTTTTTCTTTAGAACAATCTTAAGATAAGAACATTCTTAAAAAATGTTTTTGTAAATCTTGAAAAAAAAAATCTAAACTTAGAACAAGAAGGAAATAGCAGTTACCAAGAATTTAATTCTTAAGAATGTTATTGTGAACCCGGCCCCTGAAGACTAATTTTCAAATTCCTTTGTCCTGGAAAACAAGAAATTAACAACCAGCATGCAAACAGGTTAACCAAACCACCTGTTTTCAGATCTGGTCTGAACTACAAGAGGGTTCGACTGATCCTGACAGGTGCTGTGCATACTGGGAAATGGATCATCTCTTGCAGTAGCGTTAACAGCTTAGCCATCTGGGAGAGTGGCACGTGCCTTCTGTGCGAACATATCCTGTTATATCCAACAAACAAGATTCAAAGTGTCTACTGTGGTATCACAGTACACCATAAACAAAACGGTACTGTAGTTAAGCTGGTAAACCTATTACGGATGCCGTCAGGAGACACAATAAAAGTCTAGTCGCAGAGACGAGACTTATTGCATGTTGCAAGGTAACAGAAAAATGTTATATAGTTTTACTTATATATAGTAATAAGTTATAGCTTTATATAGGGCTGTGCAATTAATCGCATGCGATTGTCATCCGCATCTCGTCAGTAAAACCGGTTCCGTGATTAGTAGTAAATCGCCATCACCTGCTTTCCAATGGAGCGGCATTTACTACACAGAGCCGTAGTTCACTGACAATTACCAATATCACGTTCATAATCGAATGCGATTCATCTGCGATTATGAACGCGATATTGTGTAGCTTGTCAGTGAACTACAGCTCTGTGTAGTAAATGCTGCTCCATCTGAAAGCAGGTGATGGAGATTTACTACTAATCACGGAACCGGCTTTACTGACGAGATGCGCATGACAATTGCATGCGATTAATTGCACAGCCCTAGCTTTATATATATTAACATGTTATAGCTTTATATATATATATATATACAGTACTGAATAATGTAGTTAAGTTGGTAGTATGGCGACTTTTAATTAGTTACTCCCCAACATTGTCTATGAGTCCATTAGAGTCTCCACTGACCTTTGAGATGAGCTCATCGTGATTAGCGAGATGTGCCCGGCAGTGGATGCAGCTGTAGGTTCGGTGACAGTTGGGCAGGTAAGCCTGGAAGGTCTTGGACTTTGTCATTTTTACCATCTCACAGTCGTGGTCCTCCTCACTGTGTTCCTCTGGGCTGGCGCTAGACGAGTTGCAGCTCTGCTGAACTTGCTGACAGAAGAAACACTGGAAGATGCAAGAAAAAGCCGTCGTTGTTGTGGAGTGGATGTGTGGCACGCTCCACACAGACACCACAGGAGAAAATACGACCTTGAAATAAAGGGAAAGAAAGATGGGGAAGGCCATTACTTTTTGGAATAAACATACTCTATCCTACCAGACTATAAAAGACAGGCTGAACTGACTTTAAAAAAGCAGTTCACCCAAAAATGAAAAGTCTTACATCCTTTACTCATCCTCATGCTCTTCCAAAACCATATGTCTGTCTTGAGTTTTTTTTTTACATGAAACACAAAAGGAGAAATTGCACTGGTCACTTTTCCATGCAATTACAATAAATACGAACAAGAGCATTCAAACTTAAAAAAAGATACAGAAGTATTATAACATTTCTCATAGAAATTGCATGGAAAAACAAACCATTGAATGATGACATTTTCCATATTTATGTTGAACCTACATTTGCATTTATGCATTTAGCAGATACTTTTATCTAAATAGACTTACGCTGGATTCAAGGTATACACTTTTAATTCAGTGTATTTCCTGGGAATCAAACCCATGATGTTTGGGTGTTGCTAGCGCCATGCTCAACTTGTGTGAACCATTTCTTTAGCATGAAAAATTTGTCCTAGAATTGCAAGAATATTTAGCAAATTAGCAGCTGAAATCAGATAAAAGTGAAAGAAAACAATAATTTCCTCTTCACCCGTGACAGCTTAAGCCTGAGCAGTCTGTGAGGCGTTGTGTGTCTGATGAAGTGTGAATAATAATGATTTTCCCTCCAGTGAATACCACATATTTAAGATTCACTTTTTAACCAACAACGGTTGTTTAAGCATGTCAAAAACTGCAGCTAGTTGCCCTGTGCACCAAGAGGACCAAGCTAAGCTTTATTGCCACTGTGGGAAATCCCGTGTCTATTAGAGGATGACATTCAAATCAACTTGCTTAAAGGGTTAGTTCACCCAAAAAATAAAAATGAGGCTGTGTTTTACTCACCCCCAATGCATCCTAGGAGTATATGACTTTCTTCTTTCAGACGAATCCAGTCGGAGTTATATTAAAAATTGTCTTTGATCTTTCAAGCTCTATCGTTGTACTCAGCGGGTGTTGCATTTCTTCTGTCCAAAAGACGTGAAATAAAAAGCACCCTTCCGCTAAAAAAAGTGTCTCACACGGCTCGGGGGGGCTGGGAGGGGTCGACAAATGCCTCCTGTAGCGAATCGATGCGTTTTTGTAAGAAAAATATCCATATTCAAAACGTAATAATCACTTTGATGTAGCTTGTGCCAATAGTTGTACACAGAAGCAGTTCCAGGGGAATGACGTATGAGGTCAGCGCTGCGCATGCGCCGGTGAGTCTCGTGAAAACCAAAATTTGTTAACAGGAGCAAAGGAAGCAAAGTTTCCTTACTTTAGCAAAGGAAAACCAGTCTCCTCTTGGCTTATATCGAAATCCTCCGACATTCTTCTTTACAAATCCTCGTTTTGTACTTCTAATTAGTGACCGTTGTTTTGTTTCGATCTCTCCGCGTGCGTCACTTCTGAGCGGCGCATGCGCAAAGCTGACCTCATGCGTCATTCCCCCGGAACTGCTTCCGTTTAAAACAGAGAGCGCAAGCTAGAGTCAAGTGATTATTACGTCTTGAATATGGATATTTTTCTTACAAAGACGCATCGATTCGCTACAGGAGGCCTTTGTTCACCCCCCGGAGCCGTGTGAGACACTATTTTTTGTGGAAGGGTGCTTTTTATTTCACGTCTTTTGGACTGAAGCAATGCAACACCCGCTGAGTACAACGATAGAGCTTGAAAGATCAAAAACAATTTTTTATATAACTCCGACTGGATTCGTCTGAAAGAAGAAAGTCATATACTCCTAGGATGCATCGGGGGTGAGTAAAACACAGCCTCATTTTCATTTTTGGGTGAACTAACCCTTTAAGGCCAGACTGCCCCTTTATTAGCGAGCCAAAATATTACTAATGCAGTAAATCAGTTAAGGCTGCACTTATTTCAATAGATTTTAGCAACTGGCCATCCTTTGATTATCATACAGTAACATATTACCATGTGATACCACTGTACCATGGTGCTTTTTCAGGAACATGATGATTAAGTTATTTTAACACTTGTAGATGAATGCTGCTTGAGGCACTGATAGATTTTAATATGCGCTTTGCTAACTGCCATCCCTTTGTGTCATTCGTCTTTTCACAGTTCTCATTCTGTTCGCACAGACCATCAGAAAATAACAGGAAACCCTGTATAATGCGCTAATGAGGGGGCAACAACACTGTATGCAATAGAAAAATACAGACACACTTCCGCAATAGCACAGGAAGCTCCAACCATGCAGGCCAACAACAAAACGCGCGAGCTCTGCTCCTGTGGCGCCAAGTGTTGCCAGATCTTGCTAAAACAAGCAACATGCTCGGACTTACCTAACCGAAATAAGCATGAAGCAGCAACCCCAAGTTGCTTTTCATTTGCGTTAAACAATGTCAAATTACTCCTGATGCTAAAAAAGTCTGTATGTCCTCCACCACAAATCATTTCGACGGTTTATATAGTACAGCTGACCAGCTAAATCTCATTCACACACGTGAAAGGGGATTATAAGAAACGCAGAAACAGGGAATGAAAGATGAATTGGGCTACTGCTTTTAATAATTACATAATATACTGCGCTGCGCACAGCAGGTAGGAATATTTGACATCTGCTATTAGTAGATAATAATTCATTGTGCTGTAAAGACCAAGCTCTTGGCAGTCAAATATGCAACTGTACTGACATAATTGTTTAATAAGCCCTCAAAACTGCCTATAATTATAAGCGACTTTACGTAAACACATAAAACACGACGTCGCGTATAATGAGCGGAGATGGCAACGCAGCGCGCGATATGACACGCGTCTCGGTGGAAATGAGAACTTATAAGCATGAAGCAGCAACCCCAAGTTGCTTTTCATTTGCGTTAAACAATGTCAAATTACTCCTGATGCTAAAAAAGTCTGTATGTCCTCCACCACAAATCATTTCGACGGTTTATATAGTACAGCTGACCAGCTAAATCTCATTCACACACGTGAAAGGGGATTATAAGAAACGCAGAAACAGGGAATGAAAGATGAATTGGGCTACTGCTTTTAATAATTACATAATATACTGCGCTGCGCACAGCAGGTAGGAATATTTGACATCTGCTATTAGTAGATAATAATTCATTGTGCTGTAAAGACCAAAACTTTGGCAGTCAAATATGCAACTGTACTGACATAATTGTTTAATAAGCCCTCAAAACTGCCTATAATTATAAGCGACTTTACGTAAACACATAAAACACGACGTCGCGTATAATGAGCGGAGATGGCAACGCAGCGCGCGATGTGACACGCGTCTCGGTGGAAATGAGAACTTGTTTACCTGTAAACATCATACGTGGATATTCAATATGTATGACTTTTTGCAGAACGTGCAGACATAAAAGGTCGAGATTATTACCCACATGCAATGTTTGTAGCGCGAATGATATTGTAAACAAATGAACCTGATTACGTCCTCGCGCAAATTGACAAGTCAAGCGCGCTTTCATAAAGATAAGTTGAGTTTGTAGCCACAAAACACTGTGAAATTCATGAAAATGCCGTTTAATCGGTTAAACAGCTAATTCAATGAATGGGAACAAATGAAGCGTTCAAATCATAAAAGAAGACCCGAGGACGGTGAATCTGAAGCAAGATCAACAGCAGACAAACAAAGGAGGTTCACGAGCGCCTGTTAACCTGAGAGGATGAGGCTAATCATGAGCATTATGGCTTAAGAAAAACAATAGCTATAACAAATCTAGCCATTTAGGAGCTCGATTGGCCACGTTAAGCTCCTAATCACTCATAGAATAAGAATAAGCGAGTCAATTATTCCGTAGCACTTATTCGGCGTAAGCATTCATTTGTTTCTTTTGTTTACGTCCCTGCAAAGAGAGAAACAACTAAAGCAAGGTCTTCAGAAAAGCAATTCAGCGAGCCAACAATAGGCTACCAGTTACAAAAGGTGCAAACTGATTGTTGTCAGCGGGGTCTTTAGAGAAAACAACAAAGAAACTGTGCAACCAACGTGGAAACAAAACAAAGACTCGTGCTTCGTGCCAAAACCAGGAAGCACAGAGGCAGGATTTGAGACTTAATGTCTGCAAACACCAATGCCAACGGTAAATTGTATGATACATGCAATCACAATACCATATTTGAGTTTTTATTCCGTATAATAAACGCGTGCATGCATCCAGCTCCACATTTTTTCCCACTGACAGACCAGAGATTTAGAAAGGAATGGTTCTGAGCTTGTGTTAATTAACAAGAGCTCTACAACAATGATCATGTTTTCACGTATCAAATATACGAGTCTCTAAGCTTGAAATGAACGTCTCAACTTACCACCTGGATCTCAATGCGAAGCTCGGCATAGATTTTCTATAGGGAAGCTGAATATTGTTATTTTTGTTTCTCCAGAGTATACTTTGTGATATTTTTATAATTTTTTTTGGTTTCGGTTGTCTTGTCTCGGTGCAGATTCCGTCTGAGACCTCAAACTGAGACTATCTGACAGTTTTGTGTGTCGGTTAGGCTGTACATTTCTCTAGTCTTTGTTGCACTCTTTGTGTTGTGATAGACTTGCTGCTTTGTGAGTGGGCGGGGCGTCGCATTACTGGCGTGTGAAGCATCCAATAGATGGGCGGGGGGCGGGGCTACCAGCCAAGCGAAAATAATCCCGGATGTGTAAATAAATACAATGCAATTTAACGATTACATAGGTTAAGATGATTATGCATTTTGCATTATGTTCCTTACAAGAGCTACATGCATAAAGAATAATAAACCAACGAGGTGGACAGAAATGTTTTAGATTTTAAAAATGATTTCGTGGTAAAAATGTACAATTTAGTATTCGTTAAATAGTTGCATGTCTTGCATTATAATCTGTTGTTATTAGAATCCTATAGCTACTTTCAGCCATATAATGTCACTGATTCCTTATTATAACACATACACAAATACCACATGCAAATCATGCCAGCACATCAATATTGCTCTAAAATAGGGGTTCATGTAGGGGTGGGTTTCACAACCTGCCAGCACTAAAGAAATGGCCCCATCTTTATGCGCCAGAGAGCATCTCATTTTGCATTATGTTCCTTACAAGAGCTACATGCATAAAGAATAATAAACCAACGAGGTGGACAGAAATGTTTTAGATTTTAAAAATGATTTCGTGGTAAAAATGTACAATTTAGTATTCGTTAAATAGTTGCATGTCTTGCATTATAATCTGTTGTTATTAGAATCCTATAGCTACTTTCAGCCATATAATGTCACTGATTCCTTATTATAACACATACACAAATACCACATGCAAATCATGCCAGCACATCAATATTGCTCTAAAATAGGGGGTTCATGTAGGGGTGGGTTTCACAACCTGCCAGCACTAAAGAAATGGCCCCATCTTTATGCGCCAGAGAGCATCTGCTACGCCTTATAAATAATAAGTGAAGCGACTGCCTCAAATAAATGATGGTCACACAATAATCCAACCCAGAATTTTAGTATCAGTGCGCAACTAAAACGCCAGATGCAATGCATAACGTTAAAACTCCCTGTAGTCTACAATGACATGAACGCCACTGCCATCATATTCGTTGACCGTTCAAAGATAAATAGCCTAACTAATTACCTATTGACACAGACAGACGTTCCGATGATAATCAATACTGATCAATTGTTTCAAAAGCGAGCAGGAGGGCGTGAATTCGTGAAGTCTTCGTCTAAATACCGTATTGACCCAAATATAAGACGATGTTTTTTTTTCTTGGAAATACATCTTTTAAAAATGCGGTCGTCTTATATTCAGGGTCTAGATTTTGACATGTCAATAATACACTCACAACACTATGAGTGTGCCATGAAATACGTAATGTAATGCGTGTTGTAAAGAAGTACGCGAGTAAAAACAAAAGAAAAGCTTACAGCTGCATGAATCGTGACTGTCAGGTTAGCCTGATGGGACCAAATTCCCTTTGTGATTTTAAAACGTAAGACAGTACCCAGATTTGAAGACTACAGTAAGATTGAACTTCTACTGTTAATAAGATTTTGGTAGACTACTATTAGATGGATAGCCTAAATTTCCTAATTCAGATGGGCTACCCGTTTTTTTAGTTTTTTTAATGGTATATCAAAAAGTGTATATTTTTTTAAATGTGATTGTTGGTACATTTGACCAGTTTTTACCATACTTCCAAAACAAAAATTAAAATAGGAAAAATATGCAATATGAAAATAATTGAAGACAAAATGTGTTTTACTGAGAAAAAAAAACCAGATTTGGTTTTTAAAAAGCCTTTTTCCAAAAGGTACATCTGGAAAAAGGGGGGTCGTCTTATATTCGGGTCAATACGGTAATAAGGAAGCCTGTCGCGTCGCCACCACTGTCCTGATGATCTCATGTGTTTTCATTCTGCGTCCCATTTTATAACTCCGCACCATGGTAACCCACAGTAAAGCTTTTCACACCGACACAAGGCAATTATTACCCAGCTCACATAATAAAATAAAACTAAAGACCGTTGTGCTTGACAGCGTCGTGTTTTAACTGGTCCCCTGCCGTATCATTTAAAAACACAGCACACCAATGTGACCTTCGCTGAGGCACTTAGGATGCAGTGCTCTTACAGCAACTCACACACTGGGAAGAAGACATGGCAAATGTTGCACGATGCAGAATGCAATACCTTTTGGGTGGAAGTGGATCAGTTGTTCTCCCCACTGCAGGGTTTCTCATTTAGGAGCGCTGCTGCGTCCGCATGTGTCACGACGGTCCAAGATGATGCTGTTGTTGTTGTTGTTCAGAGTCTGCTGTTCATAGTTCTTCCGCTCTGACACTCTTCTCTGCGGATTTTTTTTTCTTTCTTTTTTCTTTTTTTGAATGAGACTGTGATGCGGTCACGTACATTACTGTGCGCTCCACGCTCTCTAACATTTACATCTGTCCTGTCTTCATTCACAAATATTTCGCACGCTACACAAGTACGCTACCTTACTTTTGAAAAAGAAACCACAAAAAGTAAACTAATTATACTGTGGGAAAGCTGCGTGGGAATTTAAAGGGGTCGTATGATGCGATTTCAATTTTTCCTTTCTCTTTGGAGTGTAACAAGCTCTTGGTGCATAAAGAAGATCTGTAAAGTTGCAAAGACTAAAGTCTCAAATCCAAAGAGATATTCTTTATAAAAGTTAAGATTCAGCCACGCCTACCTAAAACGGCTCGTTCTAACACGCCCCCACATATCTACCTCACTATGTGGGAAGATTTGCATAACACCGCTCAAATGTTCACGCAAAGGCGTAACTTTTAGTCTCACTGTAGTATTGTTGCCGCCGCCTCCATGTCGTGAAGACGCTGTGTGCTTCGTTGTGAAAGCGAAACTACTTTGTTTGGTCTTCCAAAAGAGGACGATATCCACTTCGTCATGCCTAGAGCTGATCTGTGCTGGTCGCTGAGGGAATACATCAACTTTCACCGTGGACGAAGTGGAGTCCAGCCCGGGGTCGTCACATGTGGTTGCCGCTCATTCGTCGGATCCGCCGGGCGCGCCGTTCTCGACCCCGCCGCCTCAGCTCACTCTATCCCGGCCTCAGCGCACGCTAAGCCGGGGCTTCCCCTCACGCTAGGCTGCTGTGTTTTTCGGTGTGAAAACGAAACTACTTTGTTTGGTCTTTCAAAAGAGGACACGACTACAAATCAGTGGTTAAGTTGTATTTACAACACTGTTCCAGAACAGTTTAACCCAAATATCCAGATGTGTGCAGCGCATTTTATGGAGGACTGTTTACTGATCCTGGGAGAGTAACGTTAGACTAAAATGCCGGCAGTTCTGACTCACAGACTGTAAGTACGTTTTCACTTAAAGGATTTGCCACTGATGATTCAAATGCGAGTTTTGAGCAGTGTAGAGACGCACTTGTTGTTTGTCATTTCTCCGATCACAAATCCAATCACAGCACACCTCGCTTTTTCAGACCGATGAGCTTTGTAAAAATCGACGCGTTTCAGAAAGGCGGGGCATAGAGGAGAAACAATAATGTACAGTATGTGGAAAATAATGTGTTTTTTTAACCTTAAACCGCATAAACACATTTCATTACACCAAATACACAAAATAATGTTCTTTTTAGCAGCATCATATGACCCCCTTTAACAGACTGCAATTATGCAGTTGCAGTTGTAAGGAATTTTAAGGCAACAAAAATATATCGTAGGTAATCATCAAAAGAGTAAAAAAAAAGGGTTTAAAAAAAACAATAATAATGAATACTTTAGGTTCACTAATATTTGTTATCTTGGTAGCTTTTTTATTTATTTTATTTTGATTCATAGAGTAATTCTATCAGTGTTGGTTGCAAGCAGTAAGACTGTGAAATTCCACAACAGTAAATATGTCTTGAGCACTGAATGCTCTCATCATTAAATGTATATCTTTCTTTCTTTAATTATTATTATATAGATTTATACTCTTACTGCCTCGGTGGATAGGTTTTATAGTCTAAAGGATACCTCATGATTCTGGTTGTTTTTAATACCATCTGTTTGTTTCTATCGAACATTTTTTTATTATTAATATTAAAATGGCAGTCATATTACAGCCAATGAAAATGACAGTAGTCATCTCCAACATATAGTATAGAAAAATATTGAATATAGGCTACAAAATGCAGAAATTGAGAATATTGTTTCTTATTATTATTGTTGTTGTTTTTTTATTGCGAACAATTCAGAGATGACGTTAATGAAATACAACTTTGCATACTTTACACATAATGTATCAACAATACAGCCAATGTCATCTGAACATATGGAAGAGAAGAGAAGAAGAAGAAAAAAGTTGACATTGACTGTTAAAAGAGAAAGATGCATTTAAATAGCTTTTTTATGAACATAAAGGCAGGAACAGAACAAATAAAGAAAAGAGGATTTAAAAAAAACACCAAAACAAGTATTAATCATGGTACATGAAAGATATCATCATATCTCTTCAAAAAAAAAAAAAACAATTTTTGTTATTAATTACTCTTAGGGATTTAATTACTAATACAGATCCCCTGTAAAGACCTTGTCTCAGACGACCACCGGGACAAGACCACAGGAACCAGTTGAGTCCTCTGCACAATGTGACTTTGCTGCAGCCTGGAATTGAACTGCTGGTTTCGTCTGGTCAGAGGAGAACTGGCCCCCCGACTGAGCCTGGTTTCTCCCAAGGTTTTTTCTCCATTCTGTCACCGATGGAGTTTTGGTTCCTTGCCGCTGTCGCCTCTGGCTTGCTTAGTTGGAGACACTTCATTTCCAGCGATATCGTTGACTTGATTGCAAATGATTGCAAAGATACTATTTAAACTGAACTGAGCTGGATAATGACATCCCTGAAAAATGAGTGTTTACTATTGTCATTTTGCATTATTGACACTATTTTCCTAATTAATGCTGTTCAGTTGCTTTGACACAATCTGTATTGTTAAAAGCGCTATATAAATAAAGGTGACTTGACTTAATTAAATGTTCTACTTCACATAAGAAATCGATAAAAGTAGGTATTTGCTTAAAAAACCTTTGTTTGTTAAAATAGAATTTTGCCACAAGGATAAGAAAGTTAACCGTAGATTCTAAAGATTTGTTTCGGTTTTCAAATCTATCGAACATGTTTGAGAATATAGGTTTATTATGACGACGTTCTCTCCGCAGACATGAAAACCAATCAGGTTGAGGATAATTTGTGTCAAACCAATCAGCTGCCGAGAGAGATCGCTCACGGAGCCAATCAGCGCAGGCTCCGCGCTCCAAACAAACACGAGCCCGCGCACACAGCTTGTTTTCGGTAATGCGCGTTCACTGCAACGACACGTGCCAAATCGCACGGCAGCGCGCGCAGCATAACACGTGGTTCAGGTAAACAGCGTGAAGGCCCGGATGTTGGTGCTAGTTTGATCTTTTAACTCAGACAACAACAACGTCATCAGTTATAATGTAAGTATTAGTTGAAGCGATAAATATGATATATTGATTATTAGTCTAAACCTGTTTGGCCAAATGTCTGTAGATGTCTTGAGAACTGCCTCGAATGATGGCAATATGTGAAAAGTACAATAAGCAAACGGTCCTCTCAACCAAACTAACTCACATCAGCGGGAATTGGTTAGAAACCGCAGTCAATAATATGGACAATTGCAGGGAGAATGAATGAAAGTATTTGCTCTTCATAAATGTAGTTAAACTCTGTCTCCATCTACTGTGTCAACACTGCAATTGCTCCAAACGCTACAGGCATTTTCATAATAATTATAGAAATTGTCCAGTGGCTGTGGTAAACTTACAGCTCAAAGACTAATATAAAAATAATAATCACTACTATTAAAAAGGTCCCTGCTGAATAGAAATGCTAAGCTAAAATAGATTGCACTATAACAACAATAATAATAATTATTATTATTATTAAAGTCCACGCAGGGACCTTTTTAATAGTGATTTTCAGACTAATGATTTTAAAAAAAAAAACCTAGCTTAAGTACCACAACTAAAAGCAAAAAAAATTTGAGGGGAAAATGTTTTCCCTGGGCAATATATTTAACACTTTTTTTTTTTGTAGTCAACAATTTTATTTTATAAACCTTTATAAAAAAAATAAAAAAGTAAAATGTGTTTAAAATGTAAAAACTAGCACCAGTCCTATTATTTGTAATTGCTTTCAGATAGCTGGATGTTCACAAAGACCTTTGTTATACATTCATAGTAAATAAGAATACAGGCATTTATTCTGAATTATTATATAATAATGAATGTCACGTTCTCACAGGAGAGCATTTATAATGCAGTGTGCTTGTAGCTAGAATCAGCCACAGCACTATTAATCGTTTCTCATGTAACTCAGAATCGAGTTTATTTTTATTAAACGTCTAAATAGTTCTCATCGAGCTGCAGACGCTGCCACCGGTTGCTCTCACAGGAACCAAATCAGGCTCATGCTCGTTTATTACTACATCACTGCACTGCACCTTTTCTTATTCACTCAATCAAGAGCGCAAAGAGGAGCACTTCTGTTTCTGTGCCAACCAAGACAACACGATGGACTCAGAACGTCACGTCGAACGCTGCAGTGCATCCAGACTGAACACAACTCAACTCCAGCTTACTTTACAGCTGATCTTAAACCGACAGACGCATTTGTTCTGGTTAGCGAGGTGACGCATGTAACACTAGCACTAGTATCAAAGGAGGAGACAGAAATCTGAGGCAGAAATATAATACAATTGGTTTTATTCTGCAGTTTCTAGGTTACGTGACTTGGCAGATGCAGAGATCAATTTCGGCAACGAAAATTGGCCATCTTTTTGAGCATTAAAAACAAGCCTTTGAGACATAATGCCACTGTTTTCAATAGATTCAAAAGATTTTAATATCATTTTGAAATATTTGTAATCACAAGTTTTCTCAGAGGGACCAAAACCTGGGGGTTTCAAAGCTCGTAAGTGAAAATCACAACAAAAAGTTTGCCATTGCTAACAAAAAGGAGATTAATACACAGAGACATTTTTACAAGATCAATAATAATAAATCACTAGACATTCATTTTTACAATAAAAACAGTTCTGCACAAAACATTTTGAAGGCAAAATGCAACAGGATCAAACCAGGTAGGGCAGAAAGAAAAGGCGTATTTATTTTTCTTTACTTCCTCAAATGAATCACAAAAGCTGACAAATAGGACTTAAAATTACATAAAGAGAATTGTTTTTTGTTTTTCAATTTTTTTTAAATATATATATAATTTCAAGAGTATACTGCAAAAAAAAAAAAAAAAAAAAAAAAAAAAAGACAACTGATCCCCAACAAAACAAAACTGCACAATAAATGTTGCTATTCGTGACGCATAAAGGCACACAGAAACAGACAGGCTGCACACTGACTCGGCAGAAGCTATCTTACGGAGTTTCACAATTTTTTTATTTGTATTTTTATTCATTTATTTAAAGGGATAGTTCATCCAAAAATGAAAATGTGATGTTTATCTGCTTACCCCCAGGGCATCCAAGATGTAGGTCACTTTGTTTCTTCAGTAGAACACAAAGTGTGATTTTTAACTTTAACCGTTGCAGTCTAGCAGTCGTATAATGCATGGCAATGGTAACAAAACCTATGAGAGTAAAAAAAACATGCACAGACAAATCCAAATTAAACCCTGCGGCTCGTGACGACACATTGATGTCCTAAGACACGAAACGATCGGTTTGTGCCAGAAACGTTAATGGGTGTGTTGATATCCAGCCGAAGAGCAATCAACCATAACTTCAGGCGAGCAGGCTCAGAAGTTGGGAATACGTGGAAAGTCACCACTCCCGAATGAGTTCGCGCGAGAGAATGTAATCTTTTAGTTTTAAGTCGGTTTGAACAATCCGGATAAGCGCAAGTAAGTACCATTTTGATTAGCCGTCGTACCTACAATGTTTGTGTACGGTGTAAACAATGAGTGACGTATACGCGCGAGAGATCACTTCCGGCGCTTGCGTACACTACGCCAGAGCACGTACACACCTCACGCACCGGATGCCGTGCGCACACCCAAAGACAGTTGGACATAGTGGTGTATTAGAGGTAAAAAAAATTATATAAATACTGTTCGGTTTCTGGCACAAACCGATCGTTTCGTGTCTTAGGACATCAATGTGTCGTCACGAGCCGCAGGGTTTAATTTGGATTTGTCTGTGCATGTTTTTTTTACTCTCATAGATTTTGTTACCATTGCCATGCATTATACGATGGATAGACTGCAACGGCTGGACTTCAAAATCATAATTTGTGTTCTACTGAAGAAACAAAGTCACCTACATCTTGGATGCCCTGGGGGTAAGCAGATAAACATCACATTTTCATTTTTGGATGAACTATCCCTTTAAGAGACTCACCCATTCTCTCCTTGATCAACCAGCATCTGATACCACCACTAGGTGGCGTCTTGCCAGATGCGTATAGGCAAAAGTAATGTAGGGTTAGTAAACCAAAGGAGGAAGCCAGTGTGGGAAAGAAACACTTGCTGAAGCCATGCACATATCAGTATCAATAACTTAATGTCTTAGACGTCCATTTTCGCAAACGTTCAAGTGCTGTATAATTTCACAAGAGTATGCATTAATCGCACGTAGAGTTCCAGGTAGACTTGCATTTCGACGCAGCACGTTATTCATTCACCAGCAGACCGTATCCTCTGATTGAAATGGTTTAATAAAAGGTGCATTTCCATGGCTAGAGGCTCCCAATTTCCACGTGGAATTAAACCTGACGTTCTGGTTCGAGCTAGTTCATCTAAAAAGCTAATCTCGATTATTAATATTTTTTCTCCAAACACTGAAAGGAACCTGGCTTTTGAAAGAAGTGCAACCGAAATGAACAAGCAAAACAAAACGCTTTTTTCTTCTTTTTGAACCGATTACACTCTATATATGAAATATGAGACCACAAAAGGTAGGATATAACAAAAACCTGAGAGTCCAATAGCGGAATCCCCAGCAAGGTGGCACTTCCATTTTCTTTGTATAGAAAGCTTTTTTAACAGTCATGCAAGGGCACAGTCTTATTGATACAAGGCGGCTGGGGGGGGGGAGGAAGCAAAAAAACATACAAAAAGGAAAGAATGAATACAGATGAGCAGGCACTGTACGTTTATAATAGACATTGATTCGAAATGTACCCATCGTGACTGAAAAACTCAGGATTGTTCTTCGTCCCGTGACAGAAGTTTCTCTACACCTATCTAAATGATCAAATCTAGTTCCTAGATGGACCTACATGCATCTTTAGATTACACCTGGATTTCAGGATATATGTAAACCTGCATGGCACTTGCCTTTTTTTGGCAGGTAATTAGAGGACTTAGGTAAAATTTTGGACACAAGTACACATTTTCCAAGGTGGCCTAGAGTGGACTTTTCTTTGGTGCTTAAGCAAATGTAACAGATTTGTCTCTTTTCTAAGGTTTCTAGAAGTGATTAAGTTATTGAGAATCGATATACAAATAATAATTATTTATATATATATATATATATATATATATATATATATATTAATGCAATTACCTACATGTTTTAATTTATATAAATAATTACAGGTTTTTAAAAATCACACACATATGTATATGCATGTATATTAGTCAAGTCACTATATGGGGGTTATAAAATAATCAGACAAATTAATTACAGGTTTTTAATAAATTTTAAGGGGTCAATAGTACATAAATATTTGCATTAATGAAAATACATTTAAGCCTTAAAATGGCACCGTGGCAAATTTCGCACTTTGAGGAAATTGGCGATGCACAATGTGGATAAATGCGAGTCCACTGCATATATATTTAAGAATAGAGGAGATCTGAGCCCTCGCTCTCTCCCCGTTTGACCTCTGTGGGACTTCAAAATGGCTTACAGACACTTTAGAAAAGCAGCTTGGAGGCTAGAAAGAAGCACAACAATAACACAATCATAGACGGTTTTTACTGAAGTGTATCAGGAGACTGAGAGAAAAAGGGTTAATCGGAATCAGAAACCTTGACGAGGTGTTCACACAGACGGGCAGGAAGAGAGAGTGTGAGTGTGAGACAAGCTCTGCGCTTTCATTGTAATGAGACTGAAGGAGTGAAGCAGGTGAAGAGAGCAGGAGTGCATGTTCTCAGCTGGGGTCAAGATGAACTTTGAGGGCTGCCTGTAGTTTAGGAAGAGGAGGAGATATCGATGGAGATGATGGCGATGAAGACCAAAAGAGGACATAGAAGTGAAGTGGAGACAGAAGCATCAGCATGATCGAATCCAGACCAACACCTACAGACAGAGCAAAAAACAGGAATAGTTATGGTTGAGACATAATTCATATACAACTATATTCCAAGCAGAGTGTGAATTTGAGGTTTGCAAAGTGCCAAATTATTGTAAAAATTGGCTTGGGTGAGTAATTAAAACACACTAGCATTTATAGGTTTGGTAATCTAGGATTCTCACTGTTTTGTAATCTAGGAAGTGTAAAAGGAACAACCACGGAACAGCTGCTCCCTCCAGAGAATCATCCGGATTACACGCAGGAAACACTGCATGTCTTTACACTACTGACAAACCCATTCATTTATTTATGTTCATCACATTAACACTACTGTTCAAAAGTTTGGGGTTAGTAAAAGTTTTAGTTTTTTATTCCATAATGATGCATTAAAGGGACCAAAACTGTAATAAACATTTCTCAAGCAGCAAATGACATTAGAATAGTTTCTGAAGAATCATGTGTCACTCAAGACTGGAGAGCTGAGAAACTATGAATCATTTTAAGACATGAACAGAATGGAAATTTCTCTTTAAGAGCTCAAAATGACTGGATTCTTCACCACTCACTCAGTTACATGGAAAATTGACTCATCTGTGCGTGTGTTTTTTCTTTGACCTATGTGATTGATTTTGTTGTTTATTTGATGCATGCATCTGGCTTCAGTCTGCAGGTTACCTGTGTGATAGGCTATGGTCTGTAGCATGGTTGGAAGCGTGCAGTTTCTTCAAAGATCAGCTCTTTCAAAGTCTCTTTGGGCAAGTCATCTAGCTCCATATCGAACTTAAACGGAGCCTCAGCAACAGGCTATAAAAGGACAAATAAAGCATAGTTACTGTCAGATAAAATGCTTTACCCACAATTCATTTGCTTATACCAATACAACAATATTCATGGTACTACAACCGTTTCTCAGTGTTGGTAGATGAAGTCCTACATTTATAAAGTACAGTCATCAGTGTTGCCATTTGTGCAATAAGACCAGTGCTAAACTCTACGCAATTTGTGATTTCTGGATAAAAACAATAGTCCTAGACACAATAAACATCATCAAAATTGCTGTTGTGAAAGAAGGCAAAAGAGGGAAAATGTGCTAATCAGACAAGACATGGTAGCATTAGAAATCTTTACATTCACATGCTAAAACAACCCATTCCATTTTACCAGACACTCTACAGACAGTCAAAGGTTATTGTGGCCATGTGGCTAGTAAAGTTGTTTAGGAAGTTTGAAACGCTCTCAACCTTTGACCACCATAAACTCTAAGATAGGAACTAGGCATGGGCCGGTATGAGATTTTGACGGTATGATAACCTTAAGCAAAAATATCACGGTTTCACGGTATTGTCATTACAGCTCTAAAATGAGTTATTTTTAATGACTGGGATTTTTTTTTTTTTATAATTCCACTGAACACAATAGGTTTTGTTTTTTTAGCAACATACAGAATATTAGGAACAGTAGAATGTTTATTTTAAGACATGAACAGAATGGAAATTTCTCTTTAAGAGCTCAAAATGACTGGATTCTTCACCACTCACTCAGTTACATGGAAAATTGACTCATCTGTGCGTGTGTTTTTTCTTTGACCTATGTGATTGATTTTGTTGTTTATTTGATGCATGCATCTGGCTTCAGTCTGCAGGTTACCTGTGTGATAGGCTATGGTCTGTAGCATGGTTGGAAGCGTGCAGTTTCTTCAAAGATCAGCTCTTTCAAAGTCTCTTTGGGCAAGTCATCTAGCTCCATATCGAACTTAAACGGAGCCTCAGCAACAGGCTATAAAAGGACAAATAAAGCATAGTTACTGTCAGATAAAATGCTTTACCCACAATTCATTTGCTTATACCAATACAACAATATTCATGGTACTACAACCGTTTCTCAGTGTTGGTAGATGAAGTCCTACATTTATAAAGTACAGTCATCAGTGTTGCCATTTGTGCAATAAGACCAGTGCTAAACTCTACGCAATTTGTGATTTCTGGATAAAAACAATAGTCCTAGACACAATAAACATCATCAAAATTGCTGTTGTGAAAGAAGGCAAAAGAGGGAAAATGTGCTAATCAGACAAGACATGGTAGCATTAGAAATCTTTACATTCACATGCTAAAACAACCCATTCCATTTTACCAGACACTCTACAGACAGTCAAAGGTTATTGTGGCCATGTGGCTAGTAAAGTTGTTTAGGAAGTTTGAAACGCTCTCAACCTTTGACCACCATAAACTCTAAGATAGGAACTAGGCATGGGCCGGTATGAGATTTTGACGGTATGATAACCTTAAGCAAAAATATCACGGTTTCACGGTATTGTCATTACAGCTCTAAAATGAGTTATTTTTAATGACTGGGATTTTTTTTTTTTTATAATTCCACTGAACACAATAGGTTTTGTTTTTTTAGCAACATACAGAATATTAGGAACAGTAGAATGTTTATTTTTTCTTTGATTTGTTTCCTAAAAAGAAGAAAAATAAAGACTGATATCTTTGTTTAACCTAAATCTGAAATTACAGTTATTTACATTTTAGTTATACAATTTATATACATAATTTGATTTAATAATAACCAGGGGTGTGAAGTAACGAATTACAAATACTCACGTTACAGTAATTAAGTAGTTTTTATCAGTAATTGTACTTTTTTTTTTTTTTGAGTAGTTTAAAAATTGTGTACTTTTACTTGAGTACATTAAGTGATGTTTCGGTACTTTTACTCCGCTATTTTCCTCTGTTTGTGGTCGTTACATGCTTATTTTAATTTTATTTTTATCCATCAATGTGATTGGATAGAGAGTAATAGGTCTCGTGACTTTCGTCAAATCAAATTGTGCATCGAAAACTTTAACCGCCAACTGTTTATCATGGCTGCTGGAAGTGCATTCTTCAAGCATCAATTCTGTCGCATCTTCCTCTAACTTAATATGTTAAGGTACATTTCGGATTTCTGCTTACTAAATGATTTGTATATATGCTTGCCTATCTACACGGCCTGAAATTTGGTGTGAGGTTGCGGGTATTGCGTACAGTGCCACGTTCGGTAAATTCCCCACTCACTTACGAGACGCGATCTGTGCTGCCTCGTCTCTCTCTCGCGTGCGTTCTGCAGAGGTCACTTGGATAAGTCGTTGTTGCTTGTTGAACTTGTTGACTTTTGATGAGTTTGAGTGCGTGATGCACGCTGTGAAAAAGTGTGTTGGAAACACAAATTGAGGACCAAATCTGCACCTTATTGATGACCCGTGGCGTTAATATACTGCATCTGTGCCAGCGCGTGATGTAGTAAAACTGCAGCTCGTTAATAAACGTTTTTAAAAAAAATCTTTTTATCAGGTGCACTCACGCATAAACAATTTTCAAGTTCAACAATTTTTGTTCCATTCAGGTGTGGATGCTGCTGATTCACCGAGACCGCCGCGGCTCAGCAAAGAGACATGCGAGAGAAATGGGCTTTCATTTTAACCCATATCATGGTGTGTGATGCTGAACTATAAGTTTCTAATGGTGTTTGTATTTGCACTGTTCTAAACATTAATATTTTATGTCCAACAACTGCATATGCTGTCTCAGTGGCCTTACACATGATTTTAAATCTATTTTTTCCAACTTTATGATTTAAATGGGGATGATTGTACTGAGAATAACTTTCATCTTTTCTTCGACTGAATACTGTTTCCGTGCTGTTTTGATGTATTTTAAAGAGTCGGCAGTCAAAATGCTGGATGACAGATACTCTGCATTCTTTATGACAAATAAGATAATGTGAATTACAGAATGTACAACGTTTTTAAAATGTGTAAATTGCAGTGTACAGAGGGTATTTTTCTCTGTGCGTCCGTCTTCAGCATCTCTGGCCTGTGTCAACGGGTGTTTACAGACTTCATATTTTCACATAAATTACATTTTGGAAAACTACTGCATTGCAACGCAGTTTGTGCAAGTCCAGAACAGAGACTAGTTGCAATAAGACAAAAAACAGTCAGTTGCCGATCGCGTAAGTTCAAGGGGCAGCTCCTGAAGTTCGTCCATCTTACACACACGTGACTGACCGCTCGCTCCCACCAACAGGAGGATGAGCGTCGTGTTACTCTCTACACTGCACTCAACCTGAGGGATTACTACACTTTCAGTCTTCGAGGAGACATGAAAAACAGCGCATACCGCAGGAACGGTATAACGGAAAATATTAGCGGTTTTGAAACCATGAAATTTTCTAATCGCGATATACCTTGAAACCGGTAATCGGCCCATGCCTAATAGGAACCAGCAGAGAATATGATGAAGCTAGTGTTTCTGACAGCAGAATATAAGAATATACATTTATTTTTTACTTTAAATATTTAATGATGGTGATTGTTAAGCATGTAAATGTAAGATTACTATTATTATTGTTGTTTGTCTTGTTGCTCTTATTGTTCATAATCGTATACAAGCATGTATACATATTATTAAGCATGTAAATGTATGTTCCTGTGGCTCAGTGGTAGAGCATAGAATCATGGGTTCGATTCCCAGGGAACACATACCGATTAAAAAAAATGTATAACCTGAATTTGGATAAAAGTGACTGCTAAATGCATAAATTATTACATTTTATTAATTATTAAATGGAAGATAACCATTACTATTAACAAAAACAACAATAATAATAATTGCAATGTTTGTCTCGTTGCTCTTATTGTCTCAGTGCATTGTTATCTTAAGGGAATATTTTTCCCTAATACGATTTATTAAGGCTATTTCTTACTAAATTTAAAAAAGAAAACTAGTAGTGAACTGACCTCATCTGAGGGGTCATAGTACTGCTCCAGGTACGGGTGAGCCAGCGCCTCCTCCACCTCAATCCTCTTATGAGGGTTAAAGGTCAACATCTTATCCAACAGGTCCAACGCTACAAGAATATATACAAATATCACACCAGTTCATTCAAAACAAACCTCAAGTGCATGCTGCTCTTTCATTAAGCTTTTAATTGTTATAACCCCAAATTTAAATATATGTTGTTAAAATTAGTCAGAATGTGAGTGTTTAAGGTGGCTTGGTCTCAAAATACGAGGACTAGTTTCTTTGTGCGCGGGTGTGGAGATGACCTCTGACCTTTAGGGTCGGCGTTAGGAAACAGGCGGTTCCAGGGCACTTTGCAGCGGAGAGGAAGTGACAACAGGTAATTTCTCGCCTTAATGTTGATAATGCAGTTGAGATCCTCCTGAGAGGGGGAGCCCAAAATACCTACAGCACAGAGAAGGGAGACAAATAAAAAGGATTAGATATTAAATTATGAAAATATAGACTAGGACAGGGGTAGGCAAGTTCGTTCCTAGAGAGCCGCAGTCCTGCAGAGTTCAGCTCCAACCCTAATCAAACACACCTGAACAAGCTAATCAGTGTCTTCAGGATTACTAAGGCTATAGGCAGGTGAGATTTGTTTTCAGGGTTGGAGCTGAACTCTGCAGGACTGCGGCTCTCTAGGACCGAACTTGCCTACCCCTGGACTAGGAGAACAAGAAAACAAAAGGAAAAGCAAATATGCTTCGGTTTGTTGCATCATCATCATTTCCCTTTTTTTTTTTAATAATATTTCATTCATATATATATGTATATGTATGTGACCCTGGACCACAAAACCAGTCATAAGGGTACATTTTTTGAAATTCACATTTATACATCATCTGAAAGCTGAATAAATAAGCTTTCCATTGATGTATGGTTTGTTAGGATAGGACAATATTTGGCCGAGATACAACTATTTGAAAATCTGGAATCTGAGGGTGCAAAAAATCAAAATATTGAGAAAATTGCCTTTAAAGTTGTCCAAATGAAGTTCTTAGCAATGCATATTACTAATCAAAAATTAAGTTTTAATATATTTACAGTAGGACATTTACAAAATATCTTCATGGAACATGATCTTTACTTAATATCCTAATGATTTTTGGCATAAAAAGAAAAATCAATAATTTTGACCCATACAATTTTTTTGTTACAAATATACCCCAGCGACTTAAGACTGGTTTTGTGCTCCAGGATATATAAAGAAGTCACATATGCTCACTTTATTTGCATTTATTTGATCAAAACACGATTACAATGTATGGTCACACTTTATTTTAAGGTTAAATTCTCGCTATTAACAAACCATTAACTACGACTTTTGCCTCAGTAAACTCCTAATTTGCTGCTTATTAATAGCTAGTAAGATAGTTGTTTAGGAATTGGGTAGGATTAGGGATGTAGAATATGGCCATGCAAAATATGTGCTTTATAAGCATTAATATACAGACAATATGTTAATAATAGGAGAGAATTGGTCCCTATACTAAAGTGTTACCCAATATATGAATATATTTTAAAATGTAATATATTCCTGTGATGCAACGCTAGATTTTCAGCATCATTACTCCAGTCTTCAATGTCACATGATCCTTCAGAAATCATTCTAATATGCTGATTTGCTGCTCAGAAAACATTTCTCATGATCAATGTTTACAACAGTTGTGAGGCTTAATATTTTTATGGAAACAGTGATTTTCCATAGAAGGTTTTAAATAGAGACTCCAAATTTGTTGTGGATAATCTTGAGACTCGGAAAATGGCACTTTTTTGGCTCTGTAGACACTGAATTGAATAAGTGCTTGTTCAGAGAATGAGAGAGATGGTACAACAATAACCCAGGGCACCAGGCTAATGATGTGCAGACGCAATCTAAATGAGGAAATAAGTAGAGTTATCAACAGGGAAACATCTGCTCGCACAGGCCAGACGGGTTCAAAGACACACATGCTAATGGAAGAAAGTGTTACTACAGAGATTGTCTCTTTAGGAGCCATCGCTTTGAGTTTGGTGGGAAAACACACACCTTCAAACACACGCAGCAGCTTGGACAACGTTATCAGCTCATTGCAGGGCCAAAATCAACAGCATCTCTGACAGGAAACACTGAGTTTTTAAACTGATGCAACAGACGGAGAAAGGAAAAATAAAGAGAAGGGAAGCGACGACATCTGATGTGCTTCGGCTTGCAAGGGAAATGATGAATAAGACTTTTTGGAGATAACCATCAAACGCTTATCTCAGTCTTACTATGCAAAACTGACCACAACGTATCGTGTTTCAGTCCAGAGATGGATGGCCTATGCGGAGCTTTTGAAGAGCGTTCCATGTACATAAATTATTCAGCTGAGCGAGTAAGCATGTTTTTCATTAGAGATGCACAGCTTTATGAAAACTGGACAAAAAATCTTATGTTTCTTTAAAAGAAGAGCTTCACATTTCAAATCTGGTGAAATGCAGCGATGCATGAAGTGCGTATGGAGCAGTGGTTACGTGAACTGAGCTGCTCTGTGGCCCTGAAAACAGTTAGCATGATCTTCTGTTGGTATTACTGGGCTCAAACGATGTTGTTGTTTTTTGTGCAACTACAAGCTATACCAAACACTGTAATCTGTTAGTATTCCTGTTCATCTCAATCATCTAAATTCATCTCTCAGTATGTGTCCTGAAATCTACAGTCTTTCCTTATACAAACCACTAGGGCATACTTTTATTTAGCAAGGATGCTTAAAATTTATCAAAAGTGATGATAAAGGCATTTATAATGTTACAAAAGATTTCTATTTCAGATAAATAGTGTTCATATAGATATCGGAATTATATCGTATCGACCGAAATTAAGAAATATATCGTGATATCAATTTTGGCCATATCGTCCAGCCCTACAAACCACTGAGCTTTTTCACCTGAGCTGTAAATTTCAAATGACTAATCACACTATACTCACCGGAAATTATATCATGACAAGGATGTCTGGCTTTTGGCACCACAAGAACATAAACCCTTCACTAGTGGCTGTAACCTGTGACGTCAAAGGCTGCAGGCAGGGAAATATATAAAGTCCACAGGGTTGTTTACCTAAGATGTGGTTAAGCTGGTCCAGATAGTGTTTCCCAGGGAAGATGGGTCTATTCGAAAGCATCTCAGCCAGAATACAACCGACCGACCATATATCAATGGACTTCGTGTAACCCTGAGAGAAAGAGAGGCACATACATGAAGAGATTGTTCATTGATGTAGCTATTAACTTTTACACAAAAACTTTTATCATGCAAAACTGAATTATCTGGGTGGTGCGTATCATAGTAATAGCATGGTTGTCTTAAAAGTTAAAAATAAATGGTTGCATAGAGCAACCAAACACACACTTGAGACAATAATGAAATAACTCCAGGATTAGACTTAATCTGTGTTTGAGTGATCAGGCCAACAAACTTTGAAAGTTCAAGACTGCTTCCTCACCTTAGAATTGAGCATAATCTCTGGTGCGCGGTACCAACGTGTGGCTACATACTCCGTCAGGAATCCGGTGTGGTCATGGTCTGGATCGGCCACCCGGGCGAGCCCAAAATCACAGATCTGGGGGATAAAACAGAAGTTACAGAGATTTGAGAGTATCCAGCAATGTCTAAGATGAGTCTGCCATAACTTTGCTTTAATAAAACATGGTATGGTGTGGTGGCAATGGAGTTAAAAGGTGATGGTTATAAAAATACAAGGACTATGTCTGCAACAGCAGAAAAGTTTCAAAACAATTTGAAATATTAAAAACAATTGAAAGAAAAAATATATAAATTTATAAACTAAATTATAAGTAATTTAAAGTAAACAAACATTTTATGAAATACTTAATCAAATACATAACTTATACAAAAATGCTTACACAAATACATAGTTTGAAATGAAATTAAAATTAAATATGTACTAAAATAAAATATTTTAAACATTCAGCTAGTTTCCAAGGCATTATTTCTCATTTTCATTTAGTTTAAGTTGATGTACTAAAATAAAAATTCTATAAAAATGAACTATACAGGTTATTTATCCTTATAGTAACTATTTTGTGGCATTGTGTGTGTTGTTTTTAAGAAAATGTAAATAAAGAGATGAAAAACAAATTAACTATACAGACATTTAAAAAACAACAAAAACTAATACAAATGACAAAAACTATTTATTTAAAATTATTGCACTCTTATTCTCTGCACTCCATTTGGATGACTAGTTGGACAAGCTGTTTTGTAAAATGGAATAAGTTTATATATATATATATATATGTGACCCTGGACCACAATACCAGTCATAAGGGTCAATTTTTCGAAATTGAGATTTATACAAGACATGAAAGCTGAATAAATAAGCTTTCCATTGATGTATGGTTTGTTAGGATAGGACAATATTTGGCCGAGATACAACTATTTGAAAATCTGGAATCTGAGGGTGCAAAAAAATCTAAATATTGAGAAAATCACCTTTAAAGTTGTCCAAATGAAGTTCTTAGCGATGCATATTACTAATGATAATACATTTTTTAGATATTTACGGTAGGAAATTTACAAAATATCTTCATGGAACATGATCTTTACTTAATATCCTGATGATTTTTGGCATAAAAGAAAAATCGATAATTTTGACCCATACAATGTATTTTTGGCTATTGCTACAAATATACCCCAGCGACTTAAGACTGGTTTTGTGCTCCAGGGTCACATATTTGTAAAACTCACAGAAATTACATTATAAATTAAAATTGAAGTTATGTGCTTTGTTTTAAAGCCGTCAGGTGCAGCATTCTGAAAACATTGTTTTTCAATTCCATTTGGTGGCACAGAAACGACACGCTTCACCTTAAATGGGTTTAAAATGACATGACGCAGTTTACTTCACCTTGAGGTCGCAAGTAGTGTTGAGCAACAGGTTAGATGGCTTCAGGTCTCTGTGGAGAACGTTTGCCGAGTGGATGTACTTCAGGCCGCGCAAGATCTGGTACAGGAAGTAACAGATGTGGTCATTGCTCAAGTGCTGCGTCTTCAACAGCTTGTACAAGTCCGTCTCCATCAGATCCTGTACAATGTAGCTATAGTTTGCCAACGTCAAGGTCAAACACAAAGCATGGGGTTAAGAAAACAGAAATCATGTAAGAACTGACAAAAGCTTGTTGAAGTTCATGCTACCTTCAAACACTTAGAATGGGCAGCCATACTTTTATTCAGCAAGGATGCATTAAATTGATCAAAACTGACCGTTAAGATACTTATAAACTTACAAGATTATTTCCAATAAATGCTGTTCTTTTGACCTTCCTATTCTTCAAATAAATAAATATACATATATATACACACACACAGATTTAAATTATAATATTTCACAGCATTACGGTTTTGACTGTAATACTTTAATGACCCCCAAATATTGAACAAGTGTATATTCTAAAAGTTTACCTTTTTTTAAGTATGATTTATTGCTCAAAAGCACAAAACTGTAAATGGAATATCTATGGAACTAGAATAGTTTCGTGGAATCAGAATTAATAATCAAATAGTTCACAAGTGCCATGCCTATTAGCGATCCCAAGTAGTAAATCTTCATTTTGTTAGGTTGTGAGAAAAATAAATAAATAAAAATACCAGCAACAAATACTACAAGCCTTTTGCTATGTTCTGTATTAACTTCGGTAGAAAAAAAAAAACAGGCATGACGCTAAACACATTAGAGCAACACGGCGATTAGATCATACAAAACTTCTCACTATCCACACGCCTACTGACTATTGATTTTGGTCCTAAAATTAACTCTATACTAGAGATTTTTGCATTGTCTCAGCCTACACAGTTGGAAAAGAGCATGGCTTGTGCCAGAGGCCGTATTTTCAGCCTGAACATGAACATTTAGGAAGCTGAACTGAAAAATTGAATGAATTCGAAATTTAAAAATGTAATATTCGGTTTGTCTCTCTTTTTGCGTTAATGATGGCAGGACACAAACTGACGAACATAAAACCGGACCATGTTCTCCAGCATGAAAAAAAAAAAAACATCTTTAACTTCAATGGAAGAACATCTGACTGTCTAGGAGCCACATGATCAATGTCACCAATGTACCTACGTACCTAAAACATAGTACAGAATTACAAATATGTCTTTCCTTTGTTTCAAAATCCTACATTTATTTCCAGGCTAAAATACAAATAAAAAGGATACACGTCTTTCATCTGGTCGATGGTGAGAGTGCGGATAATGTCGTTGATGCTGATGATGTTCTCGTGCTTGAAGCGGAGCAGGATTTTAATCTCACGGAGTGTGCGCTGACAGTATGTCTGGTGCTCAAACGGACTGATTTTCTTTATCGCCACACGCACTTGATTATCACGATCATATGCCGAGCTGAAACAGATGCAAAAAAAAAAAAACAACATCAGATCAAACATTTTTTTCTGGGTTACAAAACACTGTAATGTAGCCTTGTCATTATTATTAAAAATATAAAAGAAAACCACACAAACCATATCAAATGTATACCAAGTGACGCAAAGATATCAAGTGCACAATATAAGAAGTTCAATACAATGTGAATGCAGATGGGCCTTTCAATTATGGGCACTTTTCTGTGGACCTTTAGAAAAGCTGCTTTAAAACACTTCACATATAAATATATAATATGGAAAGACTGACATTCAAGCTGAGATTGCAAGGAGTATCTTTTGAAAGGCACTGGTGAAAATGGACTACAAGTGTATAAGTCAAAACAGAGGGAAGAGCAAGAAATATGCTTGTGAAGGAGGGGAATAGGGAAAAAAAATTAACTTAAATGATTTTAGCAAATGGCTGCAATATAACAAAGAGTGAAAAATTTAAGGGGGTCTGAATACTTTCCGTACCCACTGTATATACACCTTTGTAAGCATATTCAAATGTGACCCTGGAGCACAAAACCAGTCTTAAGTCACTGGAGTATATTTGTAGCAAGTCAAAAATACATTGTATGGGTCAAAATTATAGATTTTTCTTTTATGCCAAAAATCATTAGGATATTAAAGGGGTCATATGATGCGATTTAAATTTTTCCTTTCTCTTTGGAGTGTTACAAGCTCTTGGTGCATAAAGAGATATTCTTTATAAAAGAGTCAACCACGCCTACCTAAAATGCCTTGATCTAACACGCCCCCACATGTCTACATCACGATGTGGGAAGATTTGCATTAACGCCGCCCAAATGTTCACGCAAAGAAAGGCGGCGTAACTTTTATTCTCGCTGTAGTATTATTGCTGCCGCCATGTCGAGACGCTGTGTTTCGTTGTGAAAGCAAAACTACTTTGTTTGGCCAAAAGAGGACAATATCCGCTTCGTCGTGCCTAGAGCTGATCCATGCTGGTCGCAGAGGAAATACATAAATTTCGCGCTGTCGATCGCCGGATCGGCTTTCACCGTGGACAAAGCGGAGTCCAGCCCGGGGTCATCACATATGGTTGCCACAAGCCCGCAGGCCACGCCGTTCTCAAGCCCGCAGGTCTCCACCAACTCTAGCCCGCCGTGTGTTTCGCTGTGAAAGCGAAACTACTTTGTTTGGTCTTCCAAAAGAGGACACGACTAGAAATCAGTGGTTAAGTTGTATTTACAACACTGTTCCAGAACAGTTCAACCCAAATATTCAGATGTGTGCAGCGCATTTTATGGAGGACCGTTTCCTGATCCTGGTAGAGTAGACTACAATGCCGGCTGTTCTGACTCACAGACTGGAAGTACGTTTTCATTTAAAGGACTGATGCCACTGATGACTGAAACGCGAGTTTTGAGCAGTGTAGAGTAGTGCTTGTTTGTCATTTTTCCAATCACAAATGCAGACATGGTTTTAGGTTTATGTGGTGCGATGCAACGCAAAGCGTAAAAAAAAGTATAAGTCATTATAATCAGTAATTATGTCCCCACTGGATGCAACAAATGCCTCATTTATAATGGG